AGTAAAATCAGTCTGTATATGCAGTAAAGCATGCTTGTTATACTCACTGTGGAACCGAAGGGGTTAATGCTCTGTATAAAAACGCTGTTTGATCCGGACTTCTCTGATCATTCTCTTGATAAGACAGACTTAACTGTAGCACATGCTCAGTTTAGAGTGTATTTTATTTGGGAAAGTGCATGCAATCAGCACAGGGCCAATTAGCATTGTCCATGGAGGTCAGGGGTTTTGCATCCTCCTAGAGCAGAAAGAAACTCCTCCTACAAACTTTAACCAGTGCTCTGCTGGACACTGATAAAAGTCACAAGACTAACTGCTGATGAGAAAAGGTATTTAGCAGTTTATATTTACAAAAATAATTGCAGTTCCATGTTCTGTGGGAGACCACATGTAGTGAATGCAGGGTCCTGGGTTTAGTAACACTTTAAGGCAGAGTCTATTGCCTTGTATAGTATAGTACATAGCTTGCTCTGAAACAATTCTTCAGCATCTACCAAACAATCATTCTTTGTTTGAAGCTGTAATCTCTTCTTTGTTACATGTGCTTCCTTTAAAACTGATTAGTGGAGCAGGCAGAATGAGTGAAGACTCTGCACACTGCTGACAGCTTATCAGTGGAGCACGGCTGAGAGTGAAGACTCTGTACATTTCTGACAATGGAAGCTTCATCCACTCCACAGACCAATTCCAAGCAGACATTTTTGGATTTAGAGTAGCAACAAGGGTTAAACTGGCCATAGATAGATCACAATTCCGCTGGCCCAGCAGAGAAGGGACAGATTCTCAATCCATGTGTGGCCATGCCTTTTTGACATAAGATCAATTCTGTCGAATGGGTTTGTTGAAAATGTTTTTCTCGATCAGCTAGCTGCAGCCAATTAATCATCAGCAGCCGCAGATCAATGTATTCTGAAGTGGAGAGTCTCGCTGTAAGAATCCAATGTTCCAGTGGGGACAATTTTCCTATCCACCTGACTATCATGAACGGAGGAAATCATTGATCGAAACCCCCCCCCCCCCCCATCCCAAAAAAAAAAAAAAAAAAACAAACAAAAAAAAAAAACAAAAAAAAAAAAAAAAAACTTACCTTGGTCAGCTTAAGTTGACCAGCCCATGCAGATATACTGCAGGCTGGCAGCTGTCCTGCACCAGATCACGTACATGTACGTAATCTGGAATTTCCGGAGAGGGGGCGCGCGTACGCACCCAGTCTATGCTGTCATTCGCTACAGCACAAACCAATCAGCAATTCCCGGCCAATGATTTATGGCCGGAACGCGCTGATTGGCTGAGCGAATGACAGAAGAAAGCCCAGTGTTGGTAAACAACACAGGACTCTCTACAGATAATGGCAATGTGCTGTTTTTTTAACTCCCTGAAAAGCAGGGAGTAAAAACCAGCACATTGCTTAGTAAAAACAGCACACTGTACACACAATAAACATTGTTAGGCACATAGTTAACCCTTTGATTGTTAACCCCTTCCCAGCCACTGTCATACAGTGATTAGTGCTAATACTATACACTGTCACTTTACTAATTAGTGTCACTTTAAGGTCAGTGTCATTTAGTCAGTTCCCACCCAGAGTCAGTTAGTGTCAAATTGCTCATCGCACTCAGTGACAACAACAGTCCTACTATAAGTCTCCGATCGCTGCCATTTGTAGTATAAAAAAAGTAGAATTCCAGTATATACACCATCATTTGTAGACACTATAATTTTCACACAAAACAATCAATATACACTTGGGGCCCTCACAGGAAGCGGACTCAGTCAAGCGGATCCGTCTGCTGATCCCCACTGAACAGGCAGATGACAGGTCCGTCCGTCCGTGTCATCGGACACAGCCTGCTGTTTCTCTATGGGGCAGTCGAATGTAAATGGACCACCTGCCTGTTTACATCTGATTGTCATCCGATATGATCCGCTAGACAGGTGGGGAATGGATCCCCACCCATCTGTTTTTATATGATGGTATCAGATGCAGGCAGGTGTAAATGAATACATGTCCGTTTACATCTGCCTCCCCATAGAGAACAATGGTGGTTCGATCAGGTCCGCCTGAAAAATGGACAGGCGGACCCGCCCTATGAAAGGGGTCTTATTGGGATTTTTTTTTTTACCAAAGACATGTAGCAGAATATTGTTTGGCATAAACCTGATTTTCTTACATTTTGTATTGGATATATTTTATAGCAGAAAGTAAAAAAAAAATTTTTTATTCATTTATATAATAAAAACACAGTGATGAACAAATAACACCAAAAGAAAGATCTATTTGTGGGGGAAAAAATTATATAAACTTCATGCAGGTACAGTGTTGCATGATCGCGCAATTGCCAGTTAAAGTAGCGCAGTGCCGAAAAGCAAAAAAAAAGGGGGTGAAACCTTCTGGAGCTGAAGTGGTAATCCAATCAGCAAGCTCACTGCAAATTACTTTACATGATCTTCACATTTACAGGTACATTGATGAACCTAGCACAACAGGGCTCATTGACAAAGCACAGAATTGCTGGTATGCATACAGTTAGGTCTATATAAATATATTTGGACACAGGCGCAATTTTAGTTTTTCATGTATTTACCAACAAAATATATTAAAGCTATAGTTATATAATTGATATGGGCTGAAAGTGCACACTGTCAGGTTTAATTTGAGTATATGTACATCCAAATTGGAGGAATTGTTTAAGAATTACAGCTCTTAAGAGTAGCCATCCCCCCTTTTTCAAGGGGCCAATAGTAATTAGACAATTGAATCAAAAGCTGTTTCATGGCCAGGTGTGGGCTACTCCCTTATTTCTTCATCAATTAAGCAGGTAAAAGGTTTGGAGTGGATTCTAAGTGTGGTATTTGCATTTGGAATCTATTGCTGTAAACCTACATCATGAGTTCAAAGGAGCTGTCCATGCAAGTGAAAACACACCATTATAAGGCTTGAACAGTGAAACAAATCCATTAGAGAGATAGCAGTAACATTACGAGTAGCCAAATCGACAGTTTGGTACATTCTGAGGAAAGAATGCACCGGTGAGCTCAGCAACATAAAAAGGCATGGACGTCCACGGAAGACAACAGTGGTGGATGATCGCAGGATCCTCTATGGTAAAGAAAAACCCATTCACAAAATCCTGATAAGTGAAGGACACTCTCCAGGAGGTGGGCGTATCATTGTCAAAATCTACAATCAAGAGAAGACTTCACGAGAGCAAATACAGAGGGTTCACCACAAGGTAGAAGCCATTCATAAACCTGAATAATAGAAATGCCAGATTAGACTTTGCTAAAAAAAAATCTAAAAAAGCCAGACCAGTTCTGGAAAAGCATTCTTTTGATAGATGAACCTAAGATTAATCTGTACCAGATTGATGGGAATAAAAAAATATGGAGAAGGCTTGGAACAGCTCATGATCCAAACCACACAATGTCATCTGAAAAACATGGTGGAGGCAGGGTGATGGCATGGGCATGTATGGCTTCCAGTGGCACTGGGTCATAGGTGTTTATTGATGATGTGACAGAAGCAGCCGGATGAATTCTGCAGTTTTTAGGAGGTATACGGTCAACCCAGATTCAGCCAAATGCAGCAAAGTTGATTGGACAGCGCTTCACAGTACAGATGGACAATGATCAAAAACACACTGCAAAAGCAACCCAGGAGCTTTTGTAGGAAAATAAGTGGAACATTCTGCAATGGCCGAGTCAATCACCTGATCTCAACCCAATTGAGCATGCATTTCACTTGCTGAAGGCAAAACTAAAGGCAGAAAGACCCACAAACAAAGAAGAAAGCTGTAGTTAGAGCCTGGCAAAGCATCAGAAAGGAGGAAATCCAGTCTTTGGTAATGTCCTTGGGTTCCGGACTTTAGGCAGTCATTGCCAGTAAAGGATTCTCAACAAAATATTAAAAATGAGCATTTTGTTTATGATTATATTCAATTGTCCAATTACTTTTGGTCTCTTGAAAAAGGGGTGGATGGCTACTCTTAAGAGCTGTAATTCGTAAAACCTTCCTCCAACTTGGATATACATACCCTCAAATTAAACCTGAGTGTGCACTTTCAGCCCATGTCCATTATATAACTATAGCTTCAATATGTTTTGGTTGTGCCTGTGTCCACATCTATATGGGCCCAACTGTATGTTGCCAATGGAGTAGCATAAACAATGTGTCTCCTTCTCTGCCTCCACCCACTCAATTGTTCATTGCACAACTGAGTACACTCCCATAAGCCAGGTCTCTGCATGAACCCAGAGGGCTCTTAGGAGAATGCCTACCTGTACAGAAACATATGTAGAGAGTGCTGCAGACCCCTGCCTTAGCTGGCAATAAGAAGAATATTCAGGACTCAATGATGACATTGAGGAATTCATTTTCTGGTAAATTACAGTCAAAAGAATTCCAAAAAAGGTCATGTTTAGCACATGGGAAGGAAGCTGTACTTGTGAAATAACTGTTGTCCAGGGAAGAACTTTAGAGTGATGCTAAACCTTATTTTTTTTTAAATGAAAATAAAAATGATGTTATACTTACCTGCTTTGTGGAAGGATATTGCACAGAGTGGTCCCACATTGGTGCTCTCCACTCCTATTTCCTGCATGTGCCCCATCAGTAAGCAGTGTGCTGAAAGGCCACCTACGCGGGTGCTCTCCTAAGCTGGGCTGTGTGCATCCATAAACACACATAGTGCAGCTTGGCTACGCCCCCCAATCCCTCCACGCAGGAGCCTATGGCTCCCTCTGCTCTTAGTGTCTCCTGTGAAAACAGGAAGAGAACTGCGGTGATGCAGCCGGGACAACGAAACGCTGGATTGTGAGAGTACTCAGGTAAGTGTTTAGGGAGGGAGGAGGAATGAATTATCAGTGGTGTGTTTTTTATCCTAATGCAGATAATGCATTAAGGCAGGGGTCTCCAAACTTTCTTAACAAAGGGCCAATTTATTGTCCTTCAGACTTTAGGGGGCTGGTCTGTGGCTAATGGGGGTAAACATTGCCACATTTGGTATAAGGGGGAGGAATATTGCCCCGTCATTGGTGTCAGTGGAAGGAATAGACTTCTATTGTTTGGATCAGTGGGACGAATAGTACCCTATCATTGGTGTCAGTGGGAGGAATGGTGTTTCATTGTTGGTGTCAGTGGGAGATATGGTGCCCCATTGTTGATGTCAGTTGGCAGAAATAGTGTCTTATATCAGTTGGAGGAATAGTACTACATCACTGGTGTCAGTGGGAGGAATAGTGCCCCATCATTGGTGTCAGTGGGAAGAAGTGCCCCATAATTGGTGTCAGTAGGGGGAATAGTGCCCCATCAATGGTGTCAATGGAAGGAATAGTGACCCATCTTTGGTGTCAGTGGGAGGAATAGTGCCTCATCATTGGTGTCAGTGGGAGGAATTGTGCCCCATCATTGGTGTCAGTGGGAGGAATTGTGCCCCATCATTGGTGTCAGTGGGAGGAATTGTGCCCCATCATTGGTGTCAGTGGGAGGAATTGTGCCCCATCATTGGTGTCAGTGGGAGGAAGTGCCCCATCATTGGTGTCAGTGGGAGGAATTGTGCCCCATCATTGGTGTCAGTGGGAGGAATTGTGCCCCATCATTGGTGTCAGTGGGAGGAATTGTGCCCCATCATTGGTGTCAGTGGGAGGAATTGTGCCCCATCATTGGTGTCAGTGGGAGGAATTGTGCCCCATCATTGGTGTCAGTGGGAGGAATGGTGACCCATCATTGGGGTCAGTGGAAGGAATGGTGACCCATCGTTGGTATCAGTGGGAGGAATAGTGCCCCATCACTGGAGTTAGTGGGTAGAACAGTGACCCATCTTTGTTTGCAGTGGGACGAATAGTTCCCCATCATTGGTGTCAGTAGAAGGAATAGTGCATGATCATTGGTGTCAGTGGGAGGAATTATGCCCCATCATTGGTGTCAGTGGGAGGAATTGTGCCCCATCATTGGTGTCAGTGGGAGGAATTGTGCCCCATCATTGGTGTCAGTGGGAGGAATTGTGCCCCATCATTGGTGTCAGTGGGAGGAATTGTGCCCCATCATTGGTGTCAGTGGGAGGAATTGTGCCCCATCATTGGGGTCAGTGGAGGAATAGTGCCCCATCATTGGGGTCAGTGGAAGGAATGGTGACCCATCGTTGGTATCAGTGGGAGGAATAGTGCCCCATCACTGGAGTTAGTGGGTAGAACAGTGACCCATCTTTGTTTGCAGTGGGACGAATAGTTCCCCATCATTGGTGTCAGTAGAAGGAATAGTGCATGATCATTGGTGTCAGTGGGAGGAATAGTATTCCATTGTTGGTATCTGTGGGAGAAATAGTGCCCCATTGTTGATGTCAGTTGGCAAAATAATGTCTCATATCAGTGGGGAATAGTGTCCCAAGGGCCAGATAAAGGAAAGCAAAGGGCCGCATTCAGCCCCAGGGCTGCAGTTTGGAGACCTTTGCATGAAGGTAAAAAAAAAGTTTTAACTTTAGAAACACTTTAAGATTTTTTTAAACACTCCTAATTTGGTCACCAGACCATGCAAGAGCTGACTGTTATAAAATGTACATTGAAATGTCTGCCTATGGGAGAGGGGAGGCTGTGGGTAATTTACAGACATCCACTGACTTCACCTGTCTCAGCAGTAAGTAATGGCCAGGAAAAAACAGCCTGGTTAGTGCCTCCCCAAAGCAAGCTTGGACAGTTGATGTTTGCTGTAGTAACGGAGGGCCCACTGTCATGCAAACATTCCCTGATTGGGCTATAAATGGCTGAATCCAGTGAATATTCCTGAAGTCTGTCAGCACCTTTATGGACAAAGGATCAAGAAGGAACTAATCTTGTTATGGAAAAAAAAGTGCAGTTTACCCAGATATAACAGATATTTAAGACAAGTTTTGAATGACACAGAATCAGAATTCTTTACCCTGAAAATAAAAGGCCATGTTGGAGGCATGGTTAATTTAGGTTACTGGTTTCCCTTATGACCTGCTGAATGTGGACAGTTAGAAGTGAGCACTGATGAAATGAATATTAGTCATTCAAGTAATTAAAAAATACAAAATAAGTACGAATGCATGAAATACCTTGGTTAGTGCGTTAAGTCCTAGAGCTGTGGCAACAGCACCTGTGGTGGCAGAAACATAAGCTGTTCCCAGTTGGCTAAAACAACAAGAGGTAGAAGTGTTTGCATGTGCATGGAAAAGCATTACATGAAATAATGAAAGGTAAGTGGAAATTTAGTGTGTTTAGGAAATGATCTACAATATTATGTTTCCAAAACACATGCTCTGTATATAGCAGGTCAGTATTGGGTGACAGATTGTTAACAAACTTTAAGTGGAGCTTTATTATTGGAATTGCCAGTTTTAAAAAACATATAGTAGATATCTGCTGCTCAGCCATTTTATAAACATGATTTTTCTTTACGTTTAACCTTGATTTAGGATATATAGGAGGTCTTTTCTCAAGACGCTCTCTCTGTACTTACCACTAAACAATAATAATGGACAGCTAACAATTTAATACTGTCCAAGTATCCATTTGTAATAGAATTTGGTCATTGCTCAGAAAAAATTGACTTATGCACTGTTCATATTGCTTTTAAAAATTTAAAAAAAAAATGCATTTATTATCTCTTTTTTGCTAGGATCCTGCAAAGCATTGCAGATCGCAGATGCAATGCAGGACTCCTGCAGACTGTGTGAGCTGTCTGCTCGTGCGTCATACAAGCAGGAAGATACACAATGACAGGAAGAAACAATGATATCTAGGGCAGTCAACAGCACCCTGGTAGTTCACTGAGAACTAGAAGCCGATAGCTACAAAGGCTGTCAGTACTTGTAGTTCCCCCGTTCACAGAACTCTAAATGAATGTCGTGGTCAGGGACCTCCACAGCTGCGTTTTATTGTAAATTGTGACAGCGAGTTCTAGGAGAAGATCCCTGACTTGCTATCACTAGGGTAGTGGATTGGGGAGCGGCTGCAGCAGTAAGAACATGTAACATGTTCCACCCTAAAAACAGGTGTAACTTGTAACAAGTTTCTAAAGGTGAAGGTATCCTTTTAAGAGACTCCAATGGCTATGTTCACACAGGTGTTAAGCCTAAATAGAAGGCAATTTATGAAGCTCTTCGAATGCCATTTTTTTGTAGGGGGAAAGGACAAGAGCCTTGCCCATACTGCTTTGCAAACACAAACACCATAAGTTTTTGTTGAGCTTCCATTGACTTGAGGCATTTTGCAAGTTTTAACAACTGCTAAACGTTACAGGAAAAATCTAAATTTAAGCAAAATGACGTAAATGCATTGTGTATACTAGACCATTTGGTATTCATATAAAGAACAGGCATTTACCTTGTAAAGTTTTACCAATGCAAAGCAAATGCCTAATCTTTGCGCCTCTGTGAACAAGGCCTAACTTATTTGGGTACTCTAATTTGAATAGGTAGGAAACGGTCACATTGTAGAGTAGAAAGACACTCCTAAGGTCATAATGCATGAACTACACATCAGAGACAATAAACTACCCTCTGAAACCAGCATATTGCAATGGTGACCCAAGGTCACTCATTTCACTACAAAACATGGCAAGACTCCAAAGTCATATTGGCATAGTTAAAGCAGTGTGAACTGGGGATGCTGGCACAAAGCCTCACATTGTCCTACCTTCCGGTGATGGGAGCATCTCCACTCCTATTTGTATAGTTAACGATGGCATTAAAAGACTGGTTAATCCACTGCCAAAAGATCACGGCTGGCGCGGTTCTAAAAATAGAAAACAACATTTATAGGCTTTGTTCATAGTGCTAAGAGGCACCAGTCAGAAAGGCTAAAATATGAACATCCGGCTCTATTTCTACATGGAGATTCATCTGACAGATGAACACACATACTGACTACTTTCTTCATTTCATCTCTTGAAGCAGAAAATGGAATGTCATGTTAAAACTGAAATTTCATTTACATTTCATGCTTAAATATATTACGTATGTCAAAATGCATTTAACTAACATATACATATCCTAATGGGTTAAATTGCACTAACTGCTACACATTACCATAAAAATGAACGATTTGCAATGAAGCTCATTATGTAAAAGATCAGATAAAACATAAAAGCAATCTTTTTTGATCTAGTGCGCCCAAATGATAGGCTCCAGTAGTAGATGGATTATGTTGATCATAATTCCCATGCATTCTTATACTTGTGCGGGACTACAGCAGCAATAGTTCTGATCTAGAGCAGATGTGTCCTCCCCCTGACTTCTCTATCAACCTGTCCCCGCATGCCAGGGTGCTAGGTGTAATACTAAACTCTGAATCGCTATCCAAACCTTGCTGCCTCAATCTCCACAACATCTCTAAAGTACACCCCTTCTTAACCAATGACATCACAAATTTTCAAATTTACTCCTTGGTTATCTCTCGCCTCAAATACTGAACATCCCTTCTCATTGATTTACCTTTACATATCATCCACCCCACCCCCAAGGCAGACTAATTTACCTTACCAACTGCTCAGCGCCTTCCACCCCTCTCTGTCAATCCCTCCATTGGCTTCTGTTTACCAAGGAATATAACTCAAAATACTAATAAGAACTTGCAAACCCATCCACAACTCACCCCCAGAAACATCACTAACATAGTTTCAAAATATCAACAAATCTCTCTCTTCATTTCTGCCAAGACCTCCTGCACTAGCTCCCTTGTCAAATCCTACCATGTGCGCCTCTAGGAAGCACTGCCCAGTGTAAAGCACTGCGCAAACTGCTGCTGCTATATACATTTTGTATAATAATTATAATACTGTCCCATAGTTGTTAACACTTATCTTCTCTCTGTTCCCCCGCCACGAAGAGAAGATGCAACTTGGAGCTTATATAGGGACTGAGAATGCCTCCCTGAATAAGTCACATGCTCTCCCATACCCTGAATGTATGTCACATTGCTTCTTTGAGTGAGCAGAGAAGCAATGGAACGAAGGAAAGGAAGGTGCCCTCATCAGCAAACTACAGGTTCACTTTGATTTAACCATTCCATCTTCCATCATCCAGTGAATAAATAAGAGCTGAAATCTGACAATTGTTTTACTCCAGATAAGTCTATTGAAACATTTCAAATTATTTGAAGAAAAAAAAAAAAACTATTTGGGGACCTGTGGATATAGGATTCTGTTCACATCATAAATGCTTTTAACCCCATACAAGTGAATGAGAAAGCATGAGCAGCTTGAAGCAGCTTAGAAGGATGCCAAATGGGAAGGAATTCAAAAGGAACTTAGCAATGATCTCAAATGGACGTGGGATACACTTGAAAGCATGCAGCATTTTACTTTCTTCACTAGCTCTTAGGGCTGGCTTACGGCCTGCATGTGGGCAGGCATGGCTGCCCATTCATTTGAATATGCTGCCATGCCTCCATTTTCCACATGAAAACGTTTCCTGCACCATTCTAAAACCACAGAGGACGGGAAATCGCATGATACTTTTGCACCATGGGATTTCCCTGCAGCTCCCACACCTGCAATTTTAGATGTGTTGGGGTACCATTCAGAATGACTAGCACCCCTGTGAGATTTCAAAAAGCAGCACGTTTTGACTGCACAAGGTTGTGGGTATCGCTGCGACTGCCGTACCCACAACCACCTGCATAGATCTGAACCAGGCCTTTTCTATTTTATAACCTTTGATAAAATTTTTAAAGGTTTGTTCTCCAACTGCCATTTCCTTCTGCAGACCTGAATCCGAATTTATGTCCTGAAGCAACCCTATGGGGACTATTTATAGCACATAATGGACACTACTACCTGCTCTTAGCTGGATAAGTTACGCCACATTTTGGCCTACATTCTCAAGTTTTCCTTGAATCCTGAAAAATGAGGCCTGATTCCTTAAATCTTCATGTTAAATTTATAATTTTCAGTAAGGGGAAAGTCTGTCCTGCATGAATTAGTACAGAATGTGACAGCATGAGGAAAGTGCAGTCAAAAACCGGCAACTGGTGATCCGCTATGATTGGCCTTTTACCACATCACGTGATCAGCTGTTTCTGTAGGACACAGCGATCACAGAGATCAAGCAGGAGGGCACATTCTGGGAGGACGTCATATGACGCCCTCCCAGAACTGGACAACCGCGCTATAGCCATCATTCGGCTATAGTGCGGTTGGCAAGTGGTTAATGTGGCTGGCATTTTTGCACTGAAGTCACTGTGGGGCATTTTTGCACTGAAGTCAATGGGGTGCAATTTTGCACTGACGTCACTAGGGGGCTTTTTTGTATCGAAGTCAATGGGATGCGATTTTGCATTGAAGTCTATGGGGGTGTGATTTTGCAGTGAAGTTTATGGGACACAAATTTGCATTGAAGTCTATGGGACACAATTTTTCACTTTAGTCTATGGGACATGATTTTGCATTGAAGTCACTAGGGGCATTTGTGCATTGAAGTCAATGGGATGCAATTTTGCATTGAAGTCTATAGGACGCAACATGTAATTTTCGGCACCTTTTTTTTCTATTGGCAAAATGCTGATAATCCTATTTTCGGCCGATATATCAGTGCATCCCTACCTGCTTTCTGAAATTTCAAACAAGCTGTATAAATTCTGCACATTGAATGAATGCAGAGAAGAGAGGAAAGCTGATAAACAGGTACAACTTATGTAGAAAGATTTGTGTATGACCTGAGGCTAAAGAAATACCAATTTTACAGGCTTTTGGAGTTTTTCTATTTTAGGCTATAAAAGCACCTCTATATAAGCATATGTGTCCATGTCCAGGCAGGTGTTTACAGGCATAAAACACACACAACCAAAAGGCATATACCTCCTAGCATTTCAGCGTTAATGCATTCCAATTGCCAGAATAAATTAATACTCCGGCCATTTGAATGTATTAAAGTGGAACTTCACCCAAAAGGGAAAGTTCTGCTTTTCTTCAGCCCCCCCTTGCTATGTTGGAAATGTCTTTTGGGGGAGGATGCTGACTTTTTAATAAACACACACTTACCTGTCTCAGTATGCAGCACTGTCCTCACCTGGCCCAGCTCTTTGCCACTCTTCAGATCCCCGGTGCCAGCATCTTAACTATGGGCAACTGACTAATGCCTTGTGGCTTCCACTGCTTGAGCTGCACTGTGAATGGTCCTGCAGTCTCCTGGGACCTCTGACATGCCCCCCCCCCCACCCACCCTGCAGCATACTGGGATACGTCAGAATTTTCAGGAGACTGCGGGATCACTTCAGGTTGACCCCTTTTGCAGGTATAGCTATGTAAAACATTAAAAAGAAGTGTCTACGCTATTTAAAATCCATTAATACACTGTCTCAACCTGCTCTGCAACATGCTCAGTTGCTCTCCATTTTTTTCAGGCACTGTGCCAAATTTGTAGAGGCTGATCTGCTGATTAAAGAGGAAATAAACCTACTGATTTAACAGTTTCAAAAAACAGTTACATGCCCGAATATAACTGTCACATTTGCTTGTGTTCTCAACCAAACTGTCAAACCATCAAATGACTGGTGTTATAACTGATGTCAGTTGCAGATCAAACAGATGGCAGCTTCCTTGGCTGAAGGCTAAAGGATTAGAGGGTTTGGTTCTGCTTTAACAGCTGCTCAGGGCTCTGGGCTTCAACAAAATGGCAGCCTCTAGCAAGAAGAAACAGGAACAATGCTGGAGGCAATTTACAGCACACTAATGTTGGTAGCATAATTATGTGCAATGTATGTTTGTTGCTAAAAAACATTTTTTTAAATCAATTGTTATGAGTAAAATTCCACTTAACTTCTAGTCGGACTTCTTTTTAAATGTATATAGGGGAACAGAAAAGAAGTATATTTTAAGTCTTACCTATAAAAGGTCATCATGCAGCCAGTGATGGTCATGTTCATTGGTACCTGAGCTGACATCCTTCCAATCAGAATCATCTTTTCACCAGTGTCAGGGTGAAAGGCAGAATCATATACGTACTTGGCTCTCCACAATTCATCTTCAGTGAGTCCTGGCTGCACAATCCCATGCCTTGAAAAATAAAAACATTTTATTAGACTTCTTAATGTGAATTTTAATTTTTTTTCTTTAAAACTATCCTTCTTAAGAGCAGACACCGTAAGTAGCCTGCTATTATCTTTATTAGTCAGAAAAGTCTCTTTATGCCCTTTTCTAAAACATGATGGTTCTAACACTTCAATGTATTATCAACCAAAAAAAAAAAAAAGGAGTACTTGCTTCTGCCCACTGGCCACACATAGTCACTTTACATGAGCAGCTAAGTGCAAGGCTTACAAGCCAGTCCAAGGTTCCCCATAGTGGACTATCTGAGGTGTTAATAAAATAGTCGGGGGTCAAAAAGGGGTCAGTAAAATGTTCGAGGGTCAAGAGATGCTTGATAAATGATGGAAGATCAATTAAAGCGGTGGTGAACTCAGCTTTAAGACTTGCACCTACAGGTACAGTAAGCCTATAATAAATAATGCTCATCTGTAGGTACAGTGAATGTGCACCGTTTAGGAGATAGACATTTTTACAAGCCGGTGACATCACTGGAGCATGCGCACTGTGCTCTGAAAGAACAACACACTCTAATATGCTGTTCGTTGAGATTGCTGTGTCCTGACAGTGACAAATGCACGGGAGTGACGTCATCGCAACCCAGCCTTCAAACGGATGGAGGGAACAAGAGAGACCGGGTGAAGATGGAAGCACTGTCAGCGTGCCGCTGGACGGCTTCATTTTAGGTAAGTCTGTCATAATGTGCTAGTATGCAGTGCATACTAGCACATTATGACTTAAACTGTCAAGGGCACAATTTAATCGTTTTTTTATTGTCTGACTTTACGATCGCTTTATCTATTCTTTTAGGTCTTTGTGGAGCTCCACATCAGTCCCTAGTCTTGTAGGTGAATTGGCCAGTGGCAAGACAATATTACCTGGGGTTGGATGGTCAGCTGCCAGAGAGGCCTTGAGCAGCTTTTATCAGCTGTGTACTGTTACTGGTCTCATTTACAGCCTCAAACTTTGTTGGGATCAAGTGAGAACTGATTCCTGTGCATTACTAAAAATTACCAAGGGGAAGTATTGACAATATTGATAAGAATATTATTACTATTATTGCTATTACTATTCATGGTACTTTTATTATTTACGTTTCAGGGTCGACAAACATTCTGAAGTCTCATAAAGGGGGTCAAAGAACTTGGGTGACAATTGTGTTTCTATATAGATACAGTACAATGAGTGTGGTCCCCAAGACAGTAAGAATCCACTCACACCAGCTGCTGCATTACAATGTACAATAAGCTCTAAATTCTGTATGTTACTGCCAAGATTACTATGAAAAAGTTTAAAAAAAAAAAAAACCTGAAAAAACGAAAATGAATGCAGCCTTCACATCTATGGACAAGTAAACTAAAACATAATACTTTTTTACTTTGGGGTTTAGATATACTTAAAGCAGAACTCCGAAACAGAAATTATATTACATATTTGTACAAGTGCATCTATACCTTTAACCACTTGCCTACCGGGCACTTATACCTTCTTTACCAGGCCAATTTTCAGCTTTCAGCGCTGTCGCACTTTGATTGACAATTGCGTGGTCATGCAAGATTGAACCCATATAAAATTTTTATCATTTTTTTCTCACAAATAGAGCTTTCTTTTGGTGGTATTTAATCGCCGCTGGGCACTTTACTTTTTGCGCTATAAACAAAAAAATTGCAAAAAATTTAAAAAAAAAAAAAACAAACTTTGTTTCTATTATAAAATTTTTCAAACAGGTAATTTTTCTCCTTCACTGATGTGCGTTGATAAGGAAGCACTGATGGGCAGTAATAGGCGGCACTGTTGGGCATGGATAGGCAGCACTGATGGTCACTGATAGGCAGCACTGATGAGGTGGCACAGATAGGCAGCACTAATTAGGTGTCACTGACTGGTGGCACTGCTAGGCATTGACTGGCGCAACTGCTGGGCACTGACTGGTACAACCAGTGGGCACTGACTGGTGGCACTGACTGGCAGCACAGCTGGGCTGCACTGATGGGCACATGTGGGTGGCACTGATGGGTGGCACATGGGGGTGCACTGCTGGGCACCGATCAACAGGGCACTGATGATCGGTACCGATCCCTGCTCGGACAACTGCCAGTTCTCGGCAGTACTTTCCTCATGTTCTGACAGCGTGAGGAAAGTCCAGCCGAGAACCGGCAATTGCATTTTCCTGGTGATCAGCGTGTCATTGGACACAGCTGATCACGTGGTAAAAGGCCGCTGTGATTGGCCTTTCACCACATCACGTGATCAGCTGTGTCCACGCAGGAGAGCGCGTTCTGGGAGGACATCATATGACGCCCTCCCAGAACTGGCCGGCCGCAGTGTAGCCGTCATTCGGCTACCTGCGGTCGGCAAGTGGTTAAATAACCTGTTCATCTTGCACTTCACAGTTCTCTTGTCTGTTAGATATCCAGCCTTCTTTGTTCAGTGAAGAGCCCTCTGTCCCCCTCATATCCTGTTCACAAGTCAGGTGGCTTATGTGCCCTCTCTCCCCTCAGCCACCGGTCTTGTACAATCCCCTCTGTAGTTTTTAGTAAAGAGGCAGGGGACAAGTAATCACGCTGCTGCTCACTGCATCCAGGAGACTTGGTGGCCAGAGTAGCTTGGTGAGCAACTGTAAAAAATGCAAAGGTGATCAAATACCACTGAAAGAAAGCTCTATTTGTGGGGAAAAAAAGGACATAAATTTCATTTGGGTGCAGCACTGCATGACCGCACAATTGTCAGTTAGAATAATGCATTGCCGTATCACAAAAAATGACCTGGTCAGGAAGGGGGGAAAAAAAATCCTCTGGAGGGCAAGTGGTTAAAATCAGCAAGGGAAGTCTCAGAAGTTTTGTTTTAGCTCTTTTGCTGCTAGGAATATGTAAATAGTACAATGTCCACCGTTTGGTCACAGGTGCACTTTAAGTTCAAACAGTGCATGGAGGAGGTTTCTGTCAATTTCAGCCAGCTAAATCACTGTGTCTTCCTTTTTACTAGTAGCACTTGACAGAAAAAAAAGTGTGTCAATACTATTAATCTCTTTGCTATAAATCTCGATACGGCACCAAAACAAATTATAAAATCGGTGCTTTCTGAGTTTTTAGTGAGTCACTCACAGGCCACTATATTAGGTACACCTGTTCAAGTGCTTGGTAACACAAAATTGCTAATCAGAATGGCAGCAACTCAATGCATTTAGGCATCTAGACGTGGTAAAAAACAACTTGCTGAAGTTCAAACCAAGCATCAGAATGGGGAAGAAAGAGGATTTAAGTGACTTTGAATGTGGCATGGCTGTTGGTGCAAGACTGAGTATTTCAAAAACTGCTGATCTGCTGGGATTTTCACACAACCATCTCTAGGGTTTACAGAGAATGGTCTGAAAAAGAGAAAATATCCAGTGTCGGTTGTGTGCACAAAAATGCCTTGCTGATGTCAGAGGAGATTGGGTAGGCTGGTTGCTGCGACATTCAGATGGTAGGGTCAGAATTTGGCGTAAACAACGTGAAAGCATGGATCCATTCTGTCACGCTGGGGGGTGGTAATGTAATGGTGTGGGGGATATTTTCTTGGCAATAGCAAGGTGTACCTAATAAAGTGTGTATATATATATATATATATATATATATATATATATATATATATTTTATATTGTAAACGACACCAGGAATATGTTCTGGGTGGCAGATACATTTCCCCAATATTTGGGGTGTGGTCTTCTTACGTGGGACAATTGCAGAGACATTGCAGTACTCTTTAGATGGTTAAATTTGTATTAGGGTCCTTACTAGCAGGACTTTGGCCCCAAATGGGTAAAATCCCAGGTGAGGGAGGCTTAAATGGCAGCAGAGGGAAATCAGACCAGGATGTAGGGATATTGTAATTATATAACACATATATATATATATTTTTTTTAAAACACATACTGTTCATTCTTGGACAGGCCAGTGACAAGACCACTTTACACATCAAAATATCTCTTTGCTATTTTAATATTACGCAAGGACACCTTGGTATTTGGGGAATGCCTGTTTATCTAATTAGACATTTCAAAGGGTACATTGGGCCCATTCTTCCACACAAACAGTCTTCAAATCTTGAAGGTTCTGTGGGCCTCTTCTGTGCACTCTGATCTTTAGTTATTTCCATTTTCTATTGGATTCAAGTCAGGTGATTGGCTGGGCCATTCTAGCAACTTTTATTTTCTTTCTTTGAAACTAATTGAGTTTCCTTGGCTTTGTGTTTGGGATCATTGTCTTGCTGAAATGTCCACTCTCGATTCATCTTTATCATCCTGGTAGATGGCAGCAGATTTTTACATATTTCCATTCACTCTTCCTTCAATGACATGAAGTTTGCCAGTACCGTATGTTGAAAAACATCCCCATGATGTCTTTCTGAAGCTCTCCACAATTGATCCTTGGCTCTTGGACATCTCTTCTGATAATTTTTTTCACTCCTCTATCAGAATTCTTGTGAGGAGCACCTGGTCGTGGTCGGTTTATGGTGAAATGATGTGCTTTCCACTTCCGGATTATGGCCCCAACAGTGCTCACTGGACCATTCAGACGTTTAGAAACCCTTCTGTAAACAATGCCATAAATTTTTTTGCAACAATAAGGTTGCAAAGGTCTTGACACCTTGGTAATAAGACACCTTTTTTTAGGCCATCAGTTGAAACTGAACCAGCTGATAATTTGTACTGACAAGGGGAAGGATTGCTTTATAATTACTGATCGATTTCAGCTAGTGTCTTGGCTTGCCGTACCTTTTTGCACCTCCATTTCTACATGTATTCGATACTTTTTCCCTGTGTCATTCCAATTTATTACGCATAACTTAATTTCTGAACTTATTTGTTTTGGTTTCTCTGTATGCATCGATTAAATGTGTTGTTACTGACATGTGGTGGAAATTTCATGTCAATAGCACCTTTAGGAATATATTTAGTAAGCAAAATGGTGACTTGTTCAATACTTATTTTACCTGCTGTATATACAAACACATACACACACAATATACAGATATTTCCAATTCCAAAAAATTGGGATGCTGTATAAAATCTACAAAAAAAATAGAATTGTTTGTAAATCTCATGAACCCATATTTTATTCACAATAGAAAAAAAAAAAATTCATATTTTTAAAATATGCCATTAAAGTGGTAGTAAACCACAGAATTTAAAAAAAATCCCCTGCAAGGCAATTGCATAATGTGCTAATATGCATCGCATACTAGCACATTATGAAGTACTTACCTTTGAATGAAGCCCTCAAGCGGTGCGCTGTCACTACTGACAGGGCTTCCATCTTCACCTGGTCTTCCTTCTGGGTTAGCAGACTCCAGCAGCTTGAATGGCCGAGTTGCAATGACGTCACTCGTGCATGTGTGTGGGAGTCATGGCCACAGCACAGTACTCTGAAGAATGGAACAGTTATGCTGTTCCTTCAGAGCACATGTGGCGGTGACATCACCGGCTGCCAAAAGAGTGAATATCTCCTAAACGGTACAGGTTTAAGAGATATTCAGTTTACCTACAGGTAAGCTTTATTATAAGCTTACTTGTAGGGGCAGACTTTACTACCACTTTAGAAAAAAAAAAAAAAAAACAAGGCCATTTTGAAATTGATGACAGCAACATGTCTCAGAAAAGTTGGTAGAGGGCCAGTGTAGCATCCCTCATAGCAATACTCTATAAATGTTTAGGAACTGAGGAGACCAGTTGCTTGAGTTTGGGGAGAGGAATATTGTCCCATTCTTGCCCAATATAGAATTCTAACAGCTCAACGGTACTGGTTCATCTTTGTTGTATTTTAGTTTTTAACCACTAGCCTACAGGGCACTTATACCCCCTTCCTGCCCAGGCCAATTTTCAGCTTTCAGCGCTGTTGCACTTTGAATGACAATTGCGCAGTCATGCAACACTGTACCCATATTACATTTTTATAATTTTTTTGTGACAGATAGAGCTTTATTTTGGTGGTATTTAATCACCTCTGGGTTATTTTTTCTTAAACAAACCAAAAACCCCTGAAAATTTTGGGGAAAAAAAAAAATGTTTTTTTCTTAGTTTTTGTTACAAAATTTTGTAAATAAGTGATTTTTCCCCTTCACTGATGTGCGCTAATGAGGCTGCACTGATAGGCTGAACTGATGGACACTGATAGGTGGCACTGATGGGCATTGGCATCACTGATGGGCACTGAAAGGCATCACTGATGGCACTGAAAGGCAGCACTGATGAACACTGATAGGCGGCACTGATTGGCAGCACTAATGGGGGACACTGAAAGGCAGCTCAGATGGGCACTGGCAGGTAGCATGGATGAGCACTGAGAGTTGGCACACTGATGGACACTGACAGGTGGCGCTGCTGGGGCTACACAGATCGTCAGGGCACACCTGATCATCAGTGCTCTGATGATCTGTGTACATGTCCCCTCTGAGGAATGCCGATTACTGCCTCTCCTCTCATTACAAGCTGTCATCTTGACAGCTTATGGGGAGAGAAATGCTGATAACCGGCATTTCCCGGTTTACATGTGATCAGCTGTGATTGGACACAGCTGATCACATGACTGAGCCGACATCTTTGGCTTTTTCCATGGATCGGTGATCCGCTGTGTCCGAGGGACACAGCACACCGCTGATCACCGCGCACTCCGGGAGCCCGCATGCGTGGGTAGAATGGGAGGACGTCATACGACATCCTCCCAGAACGAGAGAACCACCTTGCGTCTGTCATATTACTATATGGCGGGCGGGAGGTGGTTAAAGGAGAAGTTCACCTTTTAGCAAATAAATAACAAATGCAAATTTTAATGCAGGTAAAAAAATGTGCATTTATTATTTTTGCCTACAGCAGCCTGTAAAAGGATTGCACCAGCGATGAGTAGATCGTTGGTCCCAGGCAGGTCTCCTGTAGATCTGTAAGTATATCTGCTTGCCCATACAGGATGTACCAGCAAGCATATATACTGACAGGAAGTTCATTGAGGACTACAAGCCAACAGCCGCCAAAGACTGTGAATGAATGACACGGCCGGTCGGGCAGAGCCCTGCATGGCCGTGTTTTTGAAAAATATGACAGCTAGCGAAGAGGAATATCCCCAGTTAGCTGTCAAAGCAGGGCAGCGCGTGCGGTCTGATCATAACATGTTACACCCTGAATATGGGTGAAACATGTTATGAAAGGTGAACTTATCTTTCAAGATGTGCCAAATATTTTCAGTTGGTGAAAGATCTGGACTGCAGGCAGGCCAGTTAAAGCAGAGCTCCACCCAAAAGGCAACTCGTCCCCTGCTTCCCGATAAGGACTGGTACCTTTGGGGAGCGGGTACCCGATTATGACAGGTATCCGTTCTGACCGCCTAGGCGATTAGAAGCATAAATTCTCCTCCCTCAAAGCCCCCACCCCCCGCAGTCTTCTGGGCTACTCGACAGGTTGTAGAAAACCATTCACAACGTGCAGCGCTGCTTGCGCATTAGCAGTGGACACCTGGCTGGCGATTCTATTTTACATTGAGGGACATTATTTTGAAATTGTTCGACAATTTTTAGATGCAACTTTTCACAGACTTTGAACCTCTGCCCATCTTTACTTCTGAGACACTCTGACTCACCAAGATGCTCTTTTTATACTGAAACATCTTACTGGCCTGTTTCCAATAACCCTATTTAGTTGTGAACTGTTCTTCCAGCTCTTCCTTTTTAGTATTACTTGCTTTACCATCTTTTTTAAGACGTGTTGCTGCCATCAATTTCAAAATGACCTTATATTTTTTTTTTAAATAGTACATTTTCTCTGTTTAAACATTTAATATGTTTTCTATTTTCTACTAATTACAAAATATGGGTTTATGAAAATTAAAATCATTGCATTCTGTTTTTATGTATATTTTACACAGCACCCCAACTTTTTTGGAATTGGGGGTGTATAAAATATTTACTGTATATTTAGAGAGACAAAGTAAATAGAAAATAGTATAGAAATATATATGGTAAATGGTTCTTTTGCATAACTGTGTCAGAACACAACAAGATATTACTTATTGCAGACGTGTACCTGTAGTCTTGAACAATTTGCCTAGCATGCTCCAGTTGGTCATTAGACAGAAGGATGTTTCTGGGGTCAGTTACTGTGAAGAAATGGTTGGCTCTTCCAACAAATGTACTCTGGTCCCAGCGAGGCTCCTTAATGTTAATATTTAATGGCAATTCACCTGACATCTTTTGAATCTGCACGAAAACAGAACAAACATGAATGCCAAATATAATATGTAAACAAACACAAAACTAGAGCAAAATAAATTTGTTCACTCATATTGGAATGAAATGATGTCTCTGTCCTGCGTTACATGAGAAAAAACATTTTTTTTTTTTTTTAAAGGGCAATGCTGCTAAGCATTGCCAAAAATGCCACATTTTGGGGTAACATTAAACTCTAATATTAATACATGGGAAAGAATTATCAATTATTGAATCAGTGGGTGGTGAAAATTACGTTTTAGAACTAAAAAAGTAAAACCTAGCGATGAATACAAGGAGCACAGTCTACTTTCTGAACACCATTAGGTTTTGTGTGCAGGCATTAATGAATTGCAGCAGCTTGCTGTGATTTCTGAGCTGCATGGTGAGCTAGCTCACCCTTTTCCCTTCATCGCTAAGCGAACATGCTGGAGCAAGAAAAACGGACTTCTAACTGACAGCACAAAGAGGAGAAAGGTCAGTACAGACAACAGGCACAGGTAGCCCCCGGACTCCCTGTAACTCTGCCAGACTAAACATCTGCAGCCCTCCAACCCTGTGCCGCCTTTTATCCTTTTGTACAAACAAAAGACTGAGCCCACAACTTCCCTGCCAACACCTAATTCAGAGGAGATTAGTACAGTAGTAGCTGGCAGTAGCAGCTTTGTTGTGAATGATGGCGGCTGTGCTTACAAAAACACAAACTGGTTACTACATTTGTGTGAGAGGGACGGAGTAGTAACTTTGGGGCTTGTGCTTTTTTGAATGACAGCCCCCAAATTCACAACACAAGTCACCAGCTACTACTGCAGTAATCGCATCCAAACTAGACAGAAACTGATGGAAAATGTAGGCTCAACTAGCATCTGCCCCATGATATGCTATCAAGGACAGAACTCACACCAAGTGAAATAAGCCTTCCAATGATGAATGATGAATGCAATAACAAAGGAACCAAAAAATGAATGATTCCAGAGAAAATGAATGAGGCCTCCAGAGAGGACTCATTTACAAATGGTTCCTGATCCTCAACGGCTTCCAATTCTTCTTTTTCCTTCTCCAGAGGAACTTCCTCCGACACGTTATCCTCCCACAAAGTGAAGGAGGAGAAGGAGAGCCAGATTGCATCCCAGGTGGGTGGGTGAGAACTCCTCTTGCAGAACATGAGATGCAAGAGAGAGTGGACTGCGGGTGCAAGGGTAAGGAACAAAGGTGAGAACTTGTTTGTGGGTTTCCAGGGTCCTGCATCCAAAGTTTGGTATATCTTGCCATCTGCAGGATAATGTAAAGTGAATCTGAATATGTGAGGATTTTCGTAACGAAACGGAGCACAGCATGTTAATGTATTGAGGACAATGTAATGCAAAGAGGGCTTTTGGTCTCCTGTAGCATGTCTTCGGCCTCAAGCAGTCTCCTGCAGCATGTCTGCTGCCCCTGGCAGTCTCCTGTAGCTCATCTGCTTTCTCTTGCAGTCCCCTATAGCAACTCAAAGTTGCCTATAGCATGTCTGTAGTCTCCGGCTGGTTTCATATAGAATGTAAGCAACCTTTACAGGCTACTGGCACGCAGAATAAGTTTTGCACAGGATCACCAGCAGCATACACTTGTGCCAGCACAGGAATTAAAGTTCCCACTTGCTCCAGGGGTCTAGAAAAGATCACAGCAGTCCAGCAGCGCCTCATCAAACAAACAGACCACAGCTCTCCAACACTGTTTCCTGCTCCACACAACATCTTATCAACCTGCTGTTCATTCCTGCCTTTATCAGGCATCTCTTGCAAGTGTGTTAATGAGTAGTCTCCCACCTTCTGAAACCTCAATCCACAACCCCCCCCCCCCCTCCTGGTTCGGCTGTGTCAGAGCAACATGGGTCACTCTGCAGTTTACTCTAGAGAGGGGCTGATTATCAGCATTCTGACTTGTTTACTAAGCCTACGTTCCACCACGAACTGCATTCATATGCTTGTTCTGTCTAAACCAGGTCAGTGGGGCATGGTCTGACACCAAATGGAACTTCCCTCCAAGGAGAAAATAGCATATGAAATCCAAAGCCCACTTGATGGCTAACTATTCTAGCTCCACTATGGCATGGTTTTTCTCAGAAGCTGTCAACTTCCTGATGAGAACGGCCATGGGTTGGTCCTTCCCAACTGACCTCTTTTGACAGAACAGCTCCTAAACTTTCACTGGAGAGGAAAGCTGGAAAGCCACTTAACAATGACTGACCATAAGGTTTAAAGTTACCGCCTGTTCCAGGGGTTCATAAAATGTCACAGCAAACAAACAGCTTACAGCCCCTTCACACTGTGCCCTGCTCCATACAACATCTCATTAGCCTGCTGGCTGTTCCTGCCCTTATCAGGCCTCTCTCGCTTTGCATTCAGCAAGCTGGTGGAATAAAAAAAAACAAAACTGAGCCATGGCGCAGCTCGGCGGTTTGATTTCCATTTCTCTGGCTGGATGCAAATTGGTCACAAAAATGGTTAAACGTACAACCAGTACAGTTATCACTTGCCAGTGCTATGAATAGAAGAGACATTATGTACCATTGTTAGAAAATATAATACATGCTATCTGAACTAATATACGGTCAGTTTAAATATCGGCCGCCGAAAAAAAAAAGCGAGAAAAAAAAAGCGAGAAAAAAAAAAAGAAGGTGCTGAAAATGGCTTGCTACGTCCCATAGACTTCAAAGCAAAATCGTTTCCCATAGACTTTAATGCAAAGTCACATCCCATAGACTTTACAGCGATACTAAAAGGTTCATTTTTTTTTCTTTTTTGTAAAAAAACAAAACATGTCTATACTTACCTGCTCTGTGTAGTGGTTTTTGCACAGAGCAGCCTGGATCCTCCTCTTCTCGGGTCCCCCGCATGCTCTCTTGGCTCCTCCTTTCTGTCGGGTGCCCCCATAGCAAGCAGCTTGCTATGGGGGCACCTGCTGCTCCATGTGTCCATTCACACACAGAGTCATGGCTTGACCTTGCCCCCTTCTCTCTCATTTGCTGACTGGCTGTGATTGACAGCAGCAGGAGCCAATGGCTCCCGCTTGCTGTCTCAGCCAATGAGGAGGCAGAGAACAAGGAATGCTGAGGTTGTCGTGCACATCTCAATGAGGTTCAGGTAAGTATTGAAGGGGCTGGGGGGTACTGGTGCACAGAGGCTTTTTACCTTCATGCATCGAATGCATGAAGGTAAAAAAAAAAACCTTGAGCCTTTACAACCACTCTGCTTGGTCTGCAAAAACAGTTGCAATTGACTACAGTTTTCTTTAAGTGTTTCTTAAAGCCAGAAGGTTGGAATGTTAAATGAAAATAGTTTTGAGGCATGTCTGTGATTTTTTTTTTGTTTTTAATACACAATTCAGTGAACATTTTCCAAGAGTGGCGATTCCATACTTTTTGCCTGGGGTTGTAGCTAGTGGCAGTAGCAATTTTGTTTTTTTTTTGTTTAGTAAAAAGAACAAACATTGCTGGGAAACCAGGATGAATCTCAACTTTGACTGCATTAATTAATAATGGACTATCCATTCATGTTAGACTGCATTTTCAGATTTTTGTGATGTTCATTTAGCCACATTTGACAGGTCTAGCTGCTAATCTGGAGCACCAAGTCACCATATTTGCTGCCACTGAGAACCAGATGTTATTACTGCAGGCAGAAACCCAAGACTGTATTTGGATATCTAACAAGGATCCAGCAAACAGAAGATTTTTCTTTTACACAATGCATAAAAATACACACTGCTATCCTATCAACACCAAGTACAATGTGCCAAACTGATTCCTAAGGTGAGGGAGCAGTTCATTAATTTAAAGAATAAGTTCACCTTTCATAACGTTACACCCCCATTCAGGGTGTAACATGTTACTTTAGCACCACCCTCCCATTCCCCGTTTTAACAGAGAGCAGAGGATCTTCTCCCCCAGCTCGCTGTCACAATTTTGAGTGTTCTTGAAGTTCATCGATTCTTCTTGTCTGTGTGAAACTGCCTGCTCGTATGATGTATGGGCAAACAGCTTACAATAACAGTCTGTAAAAGTACTGCATGGCACTCGCGATTTGCAGATCATGGGTGCAATGCTTTCCAGGCTTCTACACAAAAATAAATAGATAAATAAACATAATAAATGCACATTTTAACTGGAAAAAAAATGCATTTTTTTATTTTTTGAAGTGAACTTATCATTTTAACAATTTCAGAAGTCTCCCCAAACATTCTGTAGTACCTCTTGGATTCTGCTGTTTTTTTGTGAGCATGGGACTAGTGAAAATAGTGGCTTCAGGTTTCTTTTCAATACCACGCCCACCTTGAAAAAAGGCCAAAACAAAAATATTCTAATTTGATTCCCATTGGTTTTTTTTTTAAAGATTTATTTAGCTGTGGGGATGAGATTGGTTCAGTCTTGGTTTATGCAAGTAATAATCTGATAAGTAACAGTATTACAAATTATGTAACAAATTTCCCATATCAGATACTCCAGATGAACATAGGTCAAGGTGATCTTCACAACTACCATGTAAACATATGTCATTCTCCTTGGAACTATTGATCTTGCACTAACCAATAACAGACTGTTATTGACCGAGTAGCAAATTGAAGAAACACCAGTAGCAAACAGCGGAATTAAAAGGAAGAAATTACAATAAACAGTGCAATGAAGGCGTGCAGCAGTGTAAGTTTCACATGCAGTATAAAAACAAAAGAGGTCAAAGGTTTTCCTTTATTTTTCCTTTACAGTGTTGGCATTGCCAGCAGTATAAATACAAAAGAGGTCAAAGGTTTTCCTTTATTTTTTTCTTTACAATGTTGGCATTGCAACATGCTGCCTAGTGCAAATCTCTAACAAATGACAATATCACATGCTTCAAATCCTTTCTTCCCCAGCACAAGGGAAGCAACACAGCAGACATTAAATATAAATCTACAAAACCAGCCTGAGGGCCAAGCAAAACAGCGTGGCAGATTTTCATTATGCAATT